TGACGAATATTGCGTTCCATTAAATCAGCAACTACGGTCAAGCAATGGAGTCATTAATGTACAAAAATCGTTTGCCTTCCAAGGGAAACAAGCGAAACTATTTGAACGACCAAACTGCCGATGTGTTCTTCGTCTTCGAAACAGAATACAAAAAGGTGCCAGCGCACAAAAGTGTCTTATCACAAAACAGCACTGCGTTTAAATCAATGTTCAACAATACATCGGATCAAAACGGTGTCATCAAGGTTGTCGACTTCACATCGGGTGCTTTCAAAGAATTCTTACAGTTTTTCTACCTCGCCAAGGTCCAACTAACTTCGGCCAATGTAATGGAAGTGATGCGCCTGGGTAGAAAATTTGCGGTTAAAAATTGTCTCGACGCATGTGCCGAATTGTGTAAGTCGATGCTTACAATGGACACTATGTGTTGGGGCTACGAACTAGCGATTCGATTTGAATTAGATGATTTACGAGCATTTTGTGAGCGAAAAATCAGCGAAAATCCAGAGAAGATATTCCATTCGATTAGCTTTTTACTATGTGAACCGAATGTTTTGCAACAAATTCTACAGTTAGATTCAATGGACTGCGACGAAACAATGGTATTTGACGGTTGCATGGCTTGGGCGAAATCAACGTGCATTGAGAAGGAATTGGATGAAAATCTTGTTGAAAATCTTCGTCGTCAGTTGGGCGATTTAATTTATGACATTCGCTTCAGCGCAATGAATATTGTCGAATTTTATGATCGATATTGCATGTATGAAGGTCTTTTTTCAGTGGAAGAGTTCGAAAACATTATCACCATGATTGCATTAAAACAATGCGATTCGAAAAAGTTCAACAAACATCCGCGCAATAAAATAATTCAGCAGAAGTCTGATTTCATTTCATTCAAACAACGGGTGATTAACACATTTAAAACCTCATAAAGTCAGATAGCGGGTTAAGCTTAGGGCAAAGTTTATTATGAATTTAAGTTGATGTTAATGTATTTTAAGAGTAATTTGTTATCAAATATTCGCTGAGAATGATAATAAGCATTTTTTTATAAGTTCAATGGGATATACAGTATTTATAGTCAGTAATATGTATATTTATAAGACGAATTAAAAATCGAAATATTATTCAAAATGAGTTTTTTTTTCTTCCATTCCTTTTTTCAAGTCTATCGAATTTTTGATCTTACATATTTCTTTTAAAAAAATACTTGTTCAAACATTCAAATTTACAAAGATTTCGATGCTTTCTAAAGTAAAGATTGGGACATTTTTTTGGGAGAAATTCACAGAACCGGAAAAATTTATTCAAATTCAATCCAAGATGGACTTCTAAGATGATACTTTTCACATTCGACCTTTTTGTCTAGAAAATCACTAGATTTTGGAAATTGACGAAAAACCGATTGTCTTAAACTTAAACTCGGCTGCAGAATATTATTGTGCTAAAAAGAGCTGATTGAAATTCAATGTGCAGTCGCGTAAGTGAAATAAAACTGATTCAAACAAATAGCAGTTTGATGTGTCTGTGATTTTGAGTTGAATATCTCTTCAATAGACACGGTCATTGACTGACGGTGTTTTGTTTACAATTCATGGCATGGTAAATGAACACTCTAAACTGAGTACTTTTTTTACTATTTATGATAACATAAACGATTACTCTTGTTTTGAGTGATTTTTTGATAAAAAAGCATTTCAATTTTTATTGGCGTCTCCAGTGTCGATCAAAGCTCAATTTACTATTAAAATATCATGTAGAACACATGGCTTCAGAGATAGTCAACTTGAATCATCTGCGAGATGATGAATTGCATAATTTGAACTTATTTATTCTCGCTTTCTTGTTTAAAAATACAAAATTTGTTTTAAAATTTCTTCAAACTTTGTGAAAAAATAAAATGTGCAAAGTTTTCACGACATTACGACATCGTATAGGCATGACTTCCATACAAGAATACAAATTTTTTGGTGATTTTTTTTTTGGTCCGAATGGAGTACCCACATCCATACATTTTTTGATAATTTTTCAACCATTTTGGTGACACGATGGTTTCGTGCTCAGACATGAAATTCAAAATCTGACTTTACGGGATGATTGGGCATTACGAGGGATAGATCTGGTCAAATTTTCAACGACATCGATTGATCGGTGTAAAAGTTAGACTCTGGAGAGGCACTTATGAGAAAAATGCCTTAAAATGATAATCTTTCAATTTGAACGTTGAAAGAATGTGTAGTGGGGGGTTTTTTGGCACGAGAAACCCGAATCTGATGTTAGTTTTAAGATGCAATCAATTTTTCACAGACTTTTCATACAAAAATCCACAAAAAAATTCATTTTTTTTATGAAAGACATGACTTTGTGGTATCGTAATGATGTGAAACTTTGAACAGGCTATTTTACTTTTCCGCACACACCTAGTGTGTAAGGTGAAGTATTGGAATGGGTCGAAAAATTAACACCCATCAAAAATGTGTTTTCTGGGTGTTTTTGGGGCAGGGAAGACGAATATAGCGTTTTTCGATGTCCGAATGTATGTGCGTGGTACCCTGTACTCTGTACGCTGAACGCAAAAATTTGTTAACACGATAACTTTCAAAGAAGAAAAGTAATTCAAAATCTGACTTCACAGGATGATTGGGGGTGCCGATGAATAGAAACCATTTGATTTTGAGCGACTTTGGTTGATAGAGTGAAGTGTCATGTCTGGTGTGATGCCCATGGGCATCCATGGGAAAAAATCAATTTTTCTTCCAAAAGTGATATTTAATGTATTCTTAAACACTCAAAAAAAGTATTGGGGGTTTTTGGGTACGAGAAAACCGAATATAACGTTAGTTTTGCGATACAA